AGCGCTAATCTGGCGACTTATCGATGTCTGAATTGTCCCCCTCATTCTGTACTTTCCTCGAGTTATTTTTCCCGCTTAACTTAAAAAGACCTGGTCATTTTAAGAAGTGTCCTCTGAATCCTCACCTCAGCTGCCGGCGTTTCCTATATTTAAGCTGACATTATAATGCAGCGACATTTAAAAACGATCAAGCAATTTGCTGATCGCGTCCTTAGTGACGTAAATCGCTCTCTCCACTCTGAAGTAATGACTGCGAAGTCCTCCAGTAGCCTACGCCAAGGCTCAAGTCATATGTCTTGCCGTACATCGGTAGACCAGCATTCTGTACTCCCATTCCTAGCACGCAACCTCATGTGTGAAGCAGCGGCAATTGAGAAGTTGAAAGCCAGCCTGTCCCCAAAAGGGATGCGTATATCATATTATTTTTTTAATTTTGAGCATTCTATGATCTTTAACCTCTGACCCTTTGCCATGACTCCTAACTTACCTTAGTCCTTGCTTTCCATAAATGGAGCCATTTTTTGCTGAAAGTTTTCGGGTATTCCTTTCAAAATAAAACACGATCTCTCTCACGTCCAAAATTCATCTATATGATAGAAGTTGTGTACTGGCGTGAGACGCCTACTCTCCAGCAGAGCGTATGTTCGACTGTGGCGGATACCGTCGTTCCCAGCGGGCAGTTGCAGAACAGGGATTCGAGGAGTGGTTTGACGAATTCCAGGACCCTTCTCCAATCCTTGATACGAAGGGAGGCCTGCACATGTCTCCATTCCCCGGATGATGGAATGTTGCCCTGCCAATTGCCTCACACGTTTTTTATCACGCTTGAATGTCCTTCTGATAGCAGCGAACGTTTCGGATTCTGGTGAGAATCCTTAATCATAGACAACCGCGGGATATTGTAAGGCATGCGAGATTGGCGTGGTACAGGCAAAAAGTGCGCGGTATTTATGGTTTTTAGTGGCCAGCTGCATGCGTACTGTGAATATGACCTCATGTAAATGGTGCGCTGATTGTTTGGAATTTCGTTTTCAGGTCATCAAATGCTGCAATTTCGCCATTCGTGTGGGGACGGGCTAGCTAATTGCGCGACACTTATGTCTAGCTGTCGTCAGAGTTGTTGATGGGCCCGGTTCTTCCCACATGACTGATCATATTGATCAAGCAATGTCTCAGTACGTAGGATGAGAACGGCAAACTGTTGCGTTTGTTGATGGACTGTGGGCCTGAAAACCATGAATGCAGCCGCTCGCGGCGCAAGGCTTCTAACCTCTTGCGATGATTTTGGTATCGTTTAAGTTGACAGTGTGGCCGGGTCCCGTCGAGTGAACTGCAACCTTGTAGTTTGCGTCTTTCTTCTTTACCGCTGCTCCATTCTCAGCCATTCGCCTCCGGAGACATCTCCCGGTTTCTCCGACGTACTTGCTTTGTCCACAATTGCACTAGAACAGGTAAATGACTCCGTATCATGACCATGTACCTGACGGTTTTGTCTGGTCTGTGCGCAACTCCAACGCCAAATGGAGTGAGCAGGTGGCTGACTGCTTCCGATACGTTCTTCACAAACGGAAGAGCTCGCCAAATTGTTGGTCCACTTGAATGTGGTTTCTGGTCTGGTCTCTGTACGCACTGGTTGACGGGACAAGAAACCACATCTAACGGGCCCAACAGTTTGGCGAGATCTTTCGCACGCGAAGAATGAATTGGATGCAGTCAGCCGTCTTTTCACACCACTTGGAGACATGCACATAAAAGTCTTGTTCCAGTGATGGCATCTTCCTTCGCTGACAGTCTTTCACTGTTACTTTAACTGCCTTGCTTTGATAACTACCCCCCTCTTCCCGCACCACAGGCACCGACATCTAAAACCAACAGCTCATTCTCTATTTACTTATCAACTTTTAGAATTCTAGATTGATACTTAATTGGACAGTTTGTGTTAACTTATTAATAGGCAAATACATTATACGGTTGAATAGGTCACAAAATGGTATGACGTCATAAAGTTCTGCAAACATCGTTGCCATTGCGTTGTTGAATTTTTTTTCAGGGAATGCAATGCTTCAAATATGGCAGTGTCATACAAAGATATAATAAATTCTGCAGCCGGTTGTTTATTAAGAGTTTCCACAAAGGCTGCCAATTACGTTTGAGTACATTTAGCCGCCTCCTTACAAAATTAGAAAACGCTATCCGTCCGCCACATGTACGCAACGGATTAGGAACGTTTAAAGCTCTTTGATAAATGTAATAACCAGTATAATCCAAAGTACAAGTCGTGACCACTTTAAACTTTAGTGGTCCGCATTGATTTGTGCAAGAAGTGACCTCTCGCAAAACTGAGCATCCCTGCATTGGAACTAGACAAACGTAATTTCCCCGATCTAACAATTTTCGAAAGCACTTTGACTTCTGACAACTGTGTTTGTTTTATGTCTTCTTGAATTTGCGGATGGAAGTGTTTTGGCACACGGACAGATGTCCTTCCTAACGACTGTGCAAGTAGTTCTCAGGAGCATGAGAAATGACAATAGGAATTGTGATCACAGGGCACTTGTTGCACATCAGTCAGAAAATGGATCAAATATCCGAGCAGACGTTCTGTAAAATCCAAGTTAGAGATACATACCGGAGTAGGTCTATATGCAGTCTATAGACGGCAATATGCATGACATAAGGGCATGGTAGGACTTGTATATTACTTGACAAACAATCTAATATTATCCAAACGCCAATCACTATTACTTCACACAGGCATTTCTAACAGTTTACTATATTCTGGTCTTAGTAAGCATGATTACTAGAAATTAGCACTTTAAGCTTAGGCAAGTACCTATAGCAGCAGTATCTTTGTTCATACAACTCGGAGGATAAAATTGAGGGTGCGAAAACCAAGGCAAATGCTTCTGTGCTCAGGACCCCAAGCATGTACTTACGCCGGAAGAGTTAAATCCAAAAGCACACCCCTTGTTAAGACCAATGCGATATGAGCCCTAGCGTTGGCTTAATCAGCGTCCACTCTGACAAATGGTGGCGTTACTGCCAACGCCAGTACTACTAGACTTCTTGCCAAGATTAAGGGGTATACGCTCAGTGCTGACTATAATCAGCGTCACTTCTGACTTACAAAAACAGTCATTTATAGTACCAGCTAATACTATCACTAAACAACACCATTGTAATTAGAAATAGAAGTAGCAGTATTGATATTATCAGTACCAGTCCTGCCTTACTTAAGTCTGGCTAGACACGTACTATAGGCGAGCGAGGGCAGACAGAGCACTAGTACCTGCGCCAAGTATACTGTCCCTAAAGGCTAGTTAGGCAGTTTTTCAGGCTGCAATGTATAAAACAGCTTCCGCTATGTGCCTGCTACGGTCACCTCAACTTTGGTCTTGTCACTGGTTTATGCGGTGGATTATTAGAGTGAGATAGACAGTTGCGCTATTATTTTACCATAATCTCATGCTTAGCTCCAATACCATGTCTGCTTTTGAGAAAAGTGTGGACTTCATCGACACAGATATTAATACTACACACAAACACACGTCATTGATCTCGTCTTCAGAGTCTGAGGTGAGCCGTCTAGATTTAAATTCTGAGCCATTTGCTGGCTCGACACCAAAAGGATATCCAAATAAAAAGTCTGGCAAGACTGATTGAATTAGAACAACTAAACTGCTCAAAAAAACCTTTACAGTGGCGTCGCGTACGATAGTCAGCCACTTATTAGCAACAGTGGTGATGTTGCAAGTGTAGGCTGCCGCCAATCAAATGAGGCGGTAGTATAGATTGCCTACGAATGTAAACACGGTGAGTTGACATCAAGCGTGTAACAAGCCGATTGCGCGGAGCGAACGAAGCTCAGCTCACTAAAGGCAGAATGAGTCAGCGCAGTTTATCTGGGAGACGTATTCCTACAAGTTCACCACTGTCTCTGTCAATCTTCAAATCCTGTGCGTTCTCCAGTGAAGGCAGCGTCCTGATTGTGGGGCATTTCTCCACCTATAGGTTTACACTGTTTTCACGCAAGACGGCTGCCTTATTAGCTGCTGGCAGGAGTAGCTTCACAGTGTCCTGCTTAGCATGCACAGAAGGATTCTGCCTACATCAGTTGGCACAAACGCAAGCAATTTTTTGCTAAACTTATTTACACAGAAAACTCCACAAAATGTCCAGG